GAGAGAGAGAGAGAGAGAGAGAGAGAGAGTATTTGTGTTTGTGTATGCGTGTGTGTCTGTCTGTCTGTGTGTGTGTGAGTGTGTGTGTGTATGTGCGTATGTATGTGTGTGTGTGTGTGTCTGTGTGTCTGTCTGTCTGTTTGTCTGTCTGTCTGTCTGTCTGCGTGGGTGGTTGGCAGGTGCTATGGTGTGCTTTGTTCCTTTTTTCCTATCAAACATCTATCGTCCTTATCTCTCCTCCTTCTTTTTTGTGTATGTAACTCTCTTGTAACACATTTATTCTTCGGCACTTATATGACCTTACTGTGTTGCAAGGGCCGTATAACTCTTACTTTAAAAAAACTGTCTGTCTGTCTGTCTGTTTTTCTGTCTGTCTGTGTTTAGAAAATGGTCTATGCCCAAAAAGTCCGATATAAATTTCCAGTCTTAAAACAGACTTTGAATACTACAAGTTTTAACTATTTTCTTCCTCTTCAGATAAGGGACTTGGCTATTCATCGACCATGGAAGGAACCCACACTTGAGCTTTTCGTGGCACGACCTCTCTTTAATATAATATTATGGGATGCTTCAAATCAAAACCAAAGGTGCTAAATGTTTGTTTGATTGTCTGTTTGTTTGTTTTGTGTTTGTTTGTTTATTTGTTCATTTGTTTGCTTGTTAGTGTGTTTGTTTGTTTGCTTGCTTGTTTGTTTGCTTGCTTGTTTGTTTGTGTTTATTTGTTTGGAGGGGATTGTAGTCCCTGGAGATAAATATTTGACTGAATCAAAATATTACTACTAGATCAAGAATTATTGTGTACAATGTATGTGGCGTCGGTGGCCTAGTGGTTAGGCTAACGGACTCGTAATCGGGAGGCTGCGAGTTCGGGGGTTCGTGCCGCGAGCCCGACGTTGTTTCCTTGGGAAAGGCACTGAACACGAATTTTCCTCACTTCACTGAGGTGGGAAAGGGTACCCAGCCATAGACAGCGAAAGATCGTGTCAGTATATTAGTGTTTTAGCGCCTATAAATGGCCGCTTGCACTGTATGCTTCCCAGGAAGTTGAGGTTGTTTCAAAATTCTCTCAGGTCTGCTGGGGTAATAGTATAGATTGTGGAGCGCATAGAGCTTGCTGTTGAGCGGAGATTTGTGTTATACAAATGACATTTATTATTATTGTTATAATTATTATTACATTATTATTATTATTATTATTATTATTATTATTATTATTATTATTATTATTATTATTATTATTATTATTATTATTATTATTATTATTCGTCACTTTGGCCGCCTAAAACTTCCGAACCACATAACTTTCGAATTTGACCAAATTAATCGAGGTTCAGAATCATTTAAAGGGTGCACAGTTCTAATGACTTTGAGTTGATGTTAGTGTTCCGATCATGCCTTTCAACGAAAGGGGGCACAGCTAGTATATCATATTTGTGAAAGTTCGTCACTTTGGTCGCCTGAAACTTCCAAACCACTCAACTTTCGAATTTGAAAAAAGATAACGGTGGTTCAGAATCGTTTAAAATGTGCACGGTTATATTAAGGAATTTTATTTCGTCACTGTACTTTACTTTTCAGTTTCAGTCTATCTTCCAAGACACCATTGCAAACAAGTGAGACTTCCGTTCACATGTAGTGCACACTGATCCCACAATGGCTTGACAATCGATTCTTTTGTGTTCGTTCATCGAACGAGGTACCAAGATAGATATAATAGAAATACCTACCTACGCACCTGCCTGCCTACCTACCTACCCACCCACCCACCTAGCCATCTGTCCACTGTTCAAATATCCACATAAACCCCTAGTGGTTAATTTTAAAAGTTTATAAAACACTGAGTGAACAAGTTGTTGGAGAATGTCATTGGTAGCTCCTACTCCTTTTCCTTAGCGCTGTTGTGTCTGTCTTGTTGGTGTGTCTGTCTGTCTTGTCTATCTGTCTATCTGTCTGTCTGTCTGTCTGTCTGTCTGTCTGTCTCTCTGTCTTTTCTATCTGTCTGTCTGACTGCATATCTGTCTGCTTGTCTGTCTGTCTGTCTGTCTGTCTGTCTGTCTGCCTGTCTGTCTCTCTGTCTTGTCTATCTGTCTGTCTGACTGCATATCTGTCTGCTTGTCTGTCTGTCTGTCTGTCTGTCTGTCTGTCTGTCTGTCTGTCTGTCTGTCTGTCTGTCTGGCTGTCTGTCTGTCTGGCTATCTAGCTGGCTGGCTGACTTCCAACTTGTGTTGCAAGTGCCGGAAAACTCTTACTAAAGCTAATCAAACACAAAGTTGTTAACCCTTCATCTTCCGTTCTGGTCTGTCAGAATCCTGAGGTGAGACCCGCATATGGCCCCGCGAAGTACCCGCAACAAACCGGTATGCAGTACCCGCCACCCTCACAATACCCGCCCACAGCCGGATATCCAGTTCAAGGCGGTTATCCGCCTCAACAACTTTACTATGGAACCTGTTATCCGGTTTCATACGGTTACGCACCCGGTTACCCGCCTCCACCTCCGCCCGGTCCAGTCCAACAGAGTCGGGGCGGGGGTTTATTCGGTTCTCCCATGATGGGAGCGTTCGGAGGGGCGCTTGCCGGGGCAGCTATCGGAAATGTGGTCGGAGATGTGGTGGTATGTGTGTAGATGGCAGTTTTACACAATTGTTGTTGTTGTTGTTGTTGTTGTTGTTGTTGTTGTTGCTGCTGTTGTTGTTGTTGTTGGTGGTGGTGGTGGTGGTGGAGGTTTTTTGTTGTTGTTGCTGTTGTTGTTTTTTATCATTGTGATTGTGATGGTGGTGGTGGTGGTGATGATGATGATGATAGTGGTGTTGTTGTTGGTGTGATGTTGCTGTTATTGCTGTTTTCGTTGCTCCTCTGGTTGTTTTGTTGTTCCTGCCGCTGTTGTTGGTCGGTGGCCAAGTGGTTAGGCTCTCGGGCTCGCAACCGTAAGGTCCTGGGTTCGAATCCCGTCAGGGGCCCGACGTTGTGTCCTTGGGAAAGGCACTTTGCACAAATTTTACTCTCTTCACCCAGGTGGAAATGGGTACCCGGCTAGAGACAGTGAACGATCTTGTCAGTTTGATGGTGTTTGAGCGCATGAAATCCGCAGCTTGCACTGTATGCTTCCGCGGAAGCCGAGAATGTTTCTGAGTGTTCTCAGAGGGTCTGCCGGGGTAATATTAGTTGTAAAGCGCATAGAGCATGCTCTTGAGCATGGATATGCGCTATATAAATGCAATTATTTTTATTATTATTATTGTTGGTGTTGGCGTTATTACTGCAGCTCCTGGTGTGAGCGTTATTGTTGCTGTGTGTGTACTGTGTGGTAGCCTATCCGTTCGAAATGCTTGTTGTTATTGTTGTTGTTGTTGTTGTTGTTGTTGTTGTTGTTGTTGTTGTTGTTGTTGTTGTTGTTGTTATTGTGGAGGTGATAGCGGCGGTTGTCTTTGTCATTGCTGCTGCTGTTATTGTTCGCTGCCTCACGATTCTTTGTTTTGTTGGTGTTGTTGCTGTCAGTGTGGTTTGTTTGTTTGTTCGTCTGTTTATTTACCCAGCTCTGCAGGTGGTTGGAGGGCGCCAGCTGTAGTAAGTCATGCACTTTTCTTTCTCCTTGTTGTTTCTGTCTGTCTTTTTGTTTTAGTAGAGGTTTTACGGCGCTCGCAACTGCATAAGGTCATATGAGCGCCAGAAGATTAGAGGTGTTACAAGAGAGTAACAAGCATAAAAAAGAAGAAGGTGAGATAAGGACGATAGATGTTTGATAGGAAAGAAGAGGCAGACCACACCAGAGCACCCGCCAACCACCCGCTGTCTGTTTTTCTTGCTTTCTCGTGTACACTAAAGCGATGTTTTTCTCAATACTTTCGTTTTAATAAAAACTAAAAACTCTAAGTTGTCTTAGTTTCTATTTAATGATAGCTTGTAGTTTGGTGTTATTTAATGCAAACAAGTTACAAGGGAGCGGAGTTCTAGGGAAGTTTGGGGTGTTGAAAAACTGGATGAAAAAAATTTTGTTTCCTTTAATCTTGCGTATACCAGAAGTTAAAGAGAGAACATCCTCGCTCAGGAATAGAACTCACTGCTTCTGCACGCAAGGGCAAAGAGCTTGACAACTATAATACTACACCCAAGATGACAGTTGGGACATATTCTGTGTCCAGACATAACTGGTTGTGGCTAATCCGGATAAACAATCTTCTCCTCCTCAGGACGGTATGGACTGTGATGATGGCGGTGGATTATTTTAGTCGAGAACCGGTTATCCGGAGACGAATCAACAGCATCCCAGCACATCTACCCATTACGTATGCGGGACGAGACCGACAGACAGACACTTCTCCAACTCAGCAAGACGTTTTTATATATAACAAATGGCGTCACCAGCACGTCCACGGTTTTAACCTTTGAAATATTATTATGGGTGGTTAGTGGGTGCTCGGGCAGTGTTTTTTCCTTTCCTATCAAACATCTATAGCCTTTATCTCCCCTCCTCCTTGTGTTTGTTATCTATCCCCCTCTTTTTCTTAAAAAATATGTTGCTCTTTGATCACATCTCAAATCTTCGGCACTCATATGACCTATTTGTCTTGCAAGTTCCGTAAAAACTCTCACTAAAACCACAAAAATGAGGTCAGTAAAAGTCACTCAGTATGCAAATCCTATCGGAGCAGTGAGTCAGTTCAGTACGGTAGTTAGTATAGTTGTTCGCCTTTGTGTTCCTCATCTGCATAAGGTATGCATGCATTATATCAATATATTAAAAACTTTGACACTTTTTGGTGTCTTTCGTTTGTGCATGTATATTACTGGACTATTTTTGAGCATATATGTGTGTGCGTGTGTATGTGTGTGTTTGTTTATGTGTGTATACATGTGTGTATGTGTGCGTTTGTTTATGTGTGTATACATGTGTGTGTGTGTGTGTGTGTGTGTGTGTGTGTGTGTGTGTGTGTGTGTGT